GTTTAAACAGGAATACATATAAAACAAGGTTATATTCTGAATGGTTGATAAAAATGTGACCATAGACTTATAGGAAGCTAACCTTCTTTTCCCCTAGGAATAATGGGTATTCACAGTGACTTTACAGAACTATTGTGAATAATGAAAATTGACTGTAATTCTATTTTTCAAAACTAGTCTAATCAGCTTTAATTACATATGTAGTATTTAATAGCAAGAGGAAAATGGTAGAAGCAATAGCAAGAGACAGGGTCAGCAAAAGAGGTAGTCCCTGATAGCTGCTGCTCCTTTATCTCTGCACCATAATCATTATCCTGTATCATGAACCTCATGGCTCCTTTCTGTCTAATATCCTTTGTGTGTCCATTATAAATTCATCTGGGCTCTTTTCTATTTCCTTCCTATAGGTTTTTGGGGCTTCTCTCTCTGGCTCAGAAATTTAATACTGAAAAACAAAAAATGTAGCTCATAAAATCATTAGAGATATGGTTCTTTTACAACACAGACAGTATAAAAGGTGTCTGTTTTTATAAAATCAGAATTTAAAGTAATTTGTGACTGTATTCCATATCCCATGAGTAAGATATACACAAAAACATTCAAATATGTAAATGCCCATTTAAAGCCCATTGAGACACAAACTTAGATTTAAAAAGTCATATATAACTTTTTACATGTCAGATATGTCTTATACTGTATTATATTCATCATTTCTAGAATTCTCTGAAACAATACTATGATCAACCCTACTTTACAGTAAGTGTAAAATTTAGTATTCTCATACTACAATTTTTATTTGAAAAATTAATAAGTGCTATTCCATGCATATAAAAATGAATTATATACAAATCTACTTTAAATACAGAATTATTCAAATAGGGCAAGTTAAATAGGCTTGAATGTTCTGGCCTTTCCTTCCTCTCACATTCTCAACTCTCTAGTCGTGGGAATCTGAATAGCTGTTTTTTATACTATATCCAAATAAATAAAATTCAAATTGTACTACGTAAGAAAATCTGGCATAAGGTTTTCATTATTTTGTAATTTACTAATTTTCCTGTTTTTTCTTCACTTACATGCACAACAGATTAAGAGTTTAGCAACAGTCTCAAATTATTTTAAGATAGGAATCTAACTTTTTTCTTGAACATAAAGTTTACTGTCCAATTTAGGAAATCAAGTTAAAAAATATGTCTGGAATACAAAGTCACTTCAGAGGTCAGTGCTTTTTTATAAATTTAAAATAGATGAGGTAATGAAAACAAGTAAGTCTGTTTTACTCATACTAAATGTTCCAATAAAACAATTCTAATGTTTAATAATAAATTCTTGAAGGACAATTTTTTATGTGAAAATATGCAAGTCCAAAATGAGCTAGTGAAAACTGCCACATGGAAAAATTTCACTGGATACTTACATAAGAAAGTATTTTAAAAGTACTATACTTTCTGAAAATAATCATATACATGATAAAAATATAAGCATTACAAATATAGTTACAATTGTGCCTTACTCTCAAAAATAAAATAAGCATCTTTTGTTTTTCAACAAAAATACAGGACAATTTAACAAAAAGAATACAGTATTACAACATGCAAGACTGTGAAGTGAAACCAGGTACTAATTAAAATCAAGTCACCAAAAACTGCATCCATTTAAAATCTTATATTCTTTGTGGTAATGTTTTGAAAATGACTTAATGAACATTTATGAAACATGTGCCTTTATTGTACTACATCAATCTCTTACTAAGTGAACTTTTTCTATGTAAAAATAGCAAAAATTAACATTGACCTTACTTCTTTGATACCCACACATGCACACACATTTACATTTTGAAATATTATTTTTTTAAATATACTACATTGAAACAATTTACTGAAGTTAGCAAATATTTGAAGATGTAGCACTATATGCTTTTCATGAAGCAAAAGAGAAAATTAACTTTTAGGTACCATAGCAAAAGTAAGTTGTGAAATTAAGAAAATATTTAGAGAAAATAGCTTGATTTTAAAACATAAAAATCATAGTTTAAAAGAGATGTTTAGAATATGTGTTATAGAATCAGGTAAGTACATGTTTTTATACCAGAGACTAGCTGTGTGGCTTTAGTCAAGGACAACAGCCTAACCTAGTTAAGCCTAAATTTTCTCATCTATAAATTAGAGATAACAATACTAATGTACAGGACGTGTATTAAATGATACAAAGTATTTAAGAAAATGCCCTTTAAACATACAATAAATGGTAGTTATTGTTATTATTATTATTGATGTTAAGAGCAATTTTCAAAAGCAATCTATACAATATGTAATGTGTAACATTTGAAACAATATTTATATACTTATTGTTCTAGAAATAATGTTCACACTTAATTTTCTAGAAATAGTTTACTGTTAATTGTGAGTAGTTCAGTCCTAATGTTAAATGATTATTAAACACTTATTTAAATAACAAACAAAAATTTCTTAGATATGGAGTTTATAACCAAAGGATATCATTCCAAAACCAGAAGAACCAGGTCACATACATCCAGAATTTGGTTGCCAAATATATTCCAAGGGGCAATGCACTATGCATTGAATGATCAAAAAAGGATCTGTAAAACATAAGTTTTATAAAATTTGAGCTCTATCTTTATGAAAATGAGTATTTATTTAAATGAAAATAACACACTTTTCACACAATAAACTCTGGTTAACCAATTTCCAGAAGTCTAGGACACTTAAACTCCAAGACTGTTTTCATAGTAATCCTATCTAATAAAAGAGTAATATGCAAATTGACCATCACTCCACTACAGCCACAACCCACACCTACCAGCCACGCCCACCAGCCAATCAGAGCAACTATACAAATTAACCCCAACCAAGATGGCTGTGGCCACAGAGAGAAGGAGGGAGGCTTGGGTTTCCCTGGCAATGGAGGAAGTCAAGCTTTCCACACACCCTGGCGGGCCCACGCATCCACTCAAGACTACAACGTTTCAATTATAGAAGGTAAATAAATTCCAACAGAAATGGCTGCGGCCACGGAGCTTGAAGAGCAGGAGGCTAAGGTTGCCCTCGGCAATGGAGGAAGCCAAGCTTCTGCAGCTCTGGCGGGCTCAGGCCTTCACTCTAAGCTACTAAGTTTCAATTATAGAAGATACATAAATTTCAACAAAAATGGCTGCCACCACCAAGCGAGCAGGAGGCTTGGCTCTGCTCCAGGCTACAAAGTTTCAATTATAAAAGATAAATAACCCCAGATACCAGAGCCTCCACTTAGGTCGCCAGAGGGTGTGGCTGGTCTGCAAACCACCACAGCCCCTCGCCCAGGCGGCCCCAGGCCCCAGGAGAACCCCTACCATGATCCGGGACACCCTTCAGAGCAAACCAGCTAGCCCCCACCCATGCACCAGGCCTCTATCCTATCCAATAAAAGAGTAATATGCAGATTGACCATCACTCCAACACATACGATGGCTGCTCTCATGTGGTCAAAGATCCTTCCCCCATGAGGACAGAAAATGGCCACCACATGATGGTTAGTAGGGGAGGGCAGTTGGGAAGCACCAGGCCTGTAAGGGAGGGCAGTTAGGGGCAATCAACCCTGCAGGGGAGGGCAGTTAGTGGTGATCAGGCCAGCAGAGGAGGAAAGTTGGGGACAAACAGGCTGGCAGGGGAACAGTTAGACATCAATCAGGCTGGCATGGGAGTGGTTAGGGATGATCAGGCTGGCAGGCAGAAGTGGTTAGGGGCAATCAGGAAGGCAGGCAGGCGAGCAGTTGGGAGCTAGCAGTCCTAGATTGTGAGAGGGATGTCTCAGATAGGAGAGGGTGCAGGCCAGAATTTTCGTGCACCAGGCCTCTAGTAATCAATAATAAATTACTTCAATCTGAATGACTTAGCAAGATTTTGAAGCTTCTTTTAATTCATTAACAGTTTAAAAATTATATGTTACTTTTCAATTTTAATATTTCAGTGTTCTACTACACCCTTAATAAAAAAAAATTCAACTTTATCATTTAGCATTATTCACTAATGATGGGTTATAATTTAACAAAGAAGTACAAAGCAATCCTAAAGTTTTTCTCTGTATTTCATCTTTATTTCTCCTAACCTATATACTCCTGTTAAGTCTTCACCACATCTTTTCAAGTAGAATGAACTACTAATTCAGTAAAACTGAAGGTCATTATTTACAGCATTTAAAATTCAGGAAAAATAAGTATTAATAAATTTCATCAAACATAAGCAGGATCAATCACCCACAGAGGCTAAATAGAAAATCCTGGTGAATTCTTGTTTATAAAGGCCCTCAGAGCTCCAAGAAACACTTAAATGTGATTAATTACCTATAAGTAAGCCTATTCCTGAGAGTTAACACATTAGTGTATTACTAGTCATTCTGATCTCTGGATAAATTATTTGCAGAAATCTTTTTTGAAATTCAGGGAAAAACAAAATACTAAAGAAATGAATGAAAGGTAGGAAGTTCTGGATCATAGACTAGTGATTGATTGCTAGATGGGCAATTTTAAGGTAATCTCTAAGGATAGAAGAAAAAGAAATTATCACAATGTTTAAAGAAAAATAGAGAGAAAATAATAAAAAACTGAGCTTGCTTCATATGCTTAGACTTTACCTTGCTACTAAATACTAAAATTAAATATCTTTTTTGCATATTGCCTATGACCAAAGAAAATATCATTCCTATGGCAAGGTAAGTTCAAGCATTATTATAATTATCTAGAAAGAAGCAATATGTATTTTACATTTAGAGTTCAACAAACTCAAGTCCACTTTTATTGAAATGTTTAATAGCCTTAATAATTAATGCTAGACAACACTATTAAAATTTTAAATATTTTATATAAATTTGCCAAAATTCTTTAACATTAAGATCAAACGTCACAGAAAGGCAATTTTCTGAACATACAAAACATTAATTTTATATAGCAGGATCCAATTATAATCTTACACTTATAGTTAAGGTATAGCAAAAATTGCACTTACTTTGAAAGAAACTGTACTGTAGCCCAAACACCACCATACATTAGTCCTTTAATGAGCCAGGAATCGATATTTAGGTCTGCTATAAACCCAACCAGCCAAATAACTAGGAAAGGAGTTCCTAGCATTACTTTCTGCCGAAATTCCTGTAAAGAAAAAACAAACAAAAAACAATTAGAAAGTTTTTAATGTTTTAAGTAACCTCAATATGAATCCTTGTTACCTATATAAAAACATGCAACAAGAGAGTAAATTGATTCATTCAAATATGCTTACTATAAGAATTATTCAAGGCACTGGTCTCTGTCTTCTGGAAACAGGCAGTATACAAATAATTTAAAAGTACTTGGTTAAAATTATGTAAAATGAGAATAGAAGTTATAGGAGTGAGTCTAGATAGTCAGATACAGTACAGAATAGAGCAGTAACACCTGCTAGCACATGAACAGGCTAGAAATAGTTCATGACAAATACCACCCCATTTTACCAAGGCCACTGATAACTAGAGACAAAGACAATAAGAATGACTAATGATCAAAGAACTATATAAAATAAGGAAACTGAAGATGCTTAGCCTGGAGAAGACATTTGGATGATACACATAAACAGCATATCAAAACCTTTAGATACAGTATGAAATTAAACAATCTACAGGGTACCAGAATCTATAGAATGGAGGTTATGTGCCTCTGAAAACATTTAAAAGCCAAGTGCTTAATACTCTGGACACCCCTAACTGCCCTCCCCTACAGGCTTGATTGCCCCCAACTGCCCTCCCTTGCATCTGCCCTCCCCAGCTGGCCATCTTGTGGTGGCCATCTTATGTTCACATGGGAGTAGAGTTTTCGACCACATGGGAGGCAGCTATCTTGATCTTGTGTGTTGGAGTGATGGTCAATCTGCATATTACTCTTTTATTAAATAGGAGGATAGAGGCCTGTTGCATGGGTGGGGGCCAGCTGGTTTGCCCTGAAGGGTGTCCTGGATCAGAGTGGGGGTTCCCTTGGGGTGTGGATCAGCCTGAGCAAGGGGCCTGTGGTGGTTTGCAGGCCAGCCACACCTCTCAGCTACCCAAGCGGAGGCCCTGGTATCTGGAATATATTTACTTTCTACAATTGGAAATCTGTAGCCTGGAGCTGGGGCCAAGCCTCCTGCTTGCACAGTGGGCGGGCGACAGCCATTTCTATTGGGACTTATGTATCTTCTATAATTGAAACTTTGTAGCCTGGAGTGGAGGCCTGAGCCAGCCAGGGTGTGTGGAAAGCTTTGCTTCCTCCGTTGCCTGGGAAACACCTCCCTTCTGTTCTATGTGGCTGTAGCCTTCTTGGTTTGGGTTAATTTGCATACTTGCTCTGACTGGCTTGTGGGTGTGGCTTATGTGCATGGCTTGAGGAGCAGAGTAATGGTTAATTTGCATATTACTCTTTTATTATGTAGGTTTCTCATTTAAGTCTATAATTTTATGGTTTTCTGTCTGTTCTCTGTTTTTTGTTCTATTTTCTTTTTCCTGCCTTCTTTTGGGTTATTGGAAAGTTTTTTAAAGTTCTATTTTCATGATCTACAGTGTTTGTGAGTATAGCTTTTTTAGTGGTTACTCTAAATATTACATTATATAAACATAACATCACAGTGTCTTCATTTTACCAGTTCAAGTGATGTTTACCTCTTTTTATATCCTTTCAAACTCATTTATGTTCTAAATTATCTAAAATATATTCTCTACATACATTTAGAGTCACATCAAACAGCATTATAATTTTTGCTTCAACTGTCAAGCAAAATTTAGAAGACTTAAGGAAAATCTACCATATTTACCCATAATTTTGCTTATCATAATTTTAATTTTAAGATTCTTGATTTCATTTCTTTTATTTAGAGAACTTTAGCCATTCTTTTAGAATAGTTCTGCTGATGAAAAATTCTTAGTTTTTCTTTATCTGAGAATGTGTTGATTTTCTTTCATTCCTAAGATATATTTTTCCACTGTATGGGGTTGATAGTTCTTTCCATTCAGCAGTTGGAAAATGTGTCAGTTCTATCTGAGGTCTATGGCTTCTGATGAGAAAGAAATCCAGTCATTTGAATTTTGTTGCCACTATTGGTAAAGGGATTTTAAGATTTTTATTTTTTCCAGAAGACTGACTTTGATGTGTTTAGTGAAGATTTCTTTGTGTTTATTCTGTTTAGGATTTATTCTTCTTCTTAATTCTGTAGTTCTCCTTTTGCCAAATTGGAGAAATTTTTGTCCATTATATCTTTTGAGAACTTTTTTAGCTTCACTCTCTTTCTTCTCTTCTTCTGGGACTCCAATCATATTAATGTTAGATATTCTATTATAACCACAGGTTCCTAAGCCTCTGTTGTTGTTGTTTTTTCCGATTTATTTTCTTTTGTTGTTCAAAATGGGTAATTTTTATTGTTCCATCTTTAAGATCACTGATTCTTTCTTCTATACTCTAAAATTTGCTATTGAACCCATCCAATGAGGTGTTTTTTTTAAATTTTGGTTACTGTAATTTTCAGTTTACATTTTTTTTAATTTGGTTTTTCTTTATATTCTATTTCTATCGATATATTTCTATTTCTTTCCTGAAACTTTAATTTCTATTTGTTTTAAGCATGTTCATAACTAATTGGTAAAGCCTTTCTATGATAGCTGCTTTAAAATCTCTTAGCCGAAGCCGGTTTGGCTCAGTGGTAGAGCGTCGGTCTGTGGATTGAAAGGTCCCCGGTTCGATTCTGGTCAAGGGCACGTACATTGGTTGCAGGCACATCCCCAGTGGGGGGGGTGTGCAGGAGGCAGCTGGTCGATGTCTCTCTCTCATCGAGATTTCTAGCTCTCTATCGTCTCCCTTCCTACGTGTAAAAAAAATCAATAAAATATATTTAAAAAATAAATAAAATCTCTTATCAGATAATTTTAACATCTCTCATATTGTTGGCATCTGTTGATTCTTTTTTCATTGTTTTAAATCTCCTTGGCTTTTAGCATGATGAGTGATTTTCAACTGAAACTTGGACATATTGAGTATTGTGAGATAATAGATCTTAAACCTTTTATTTTAGATGGATTCTTCTGATGTAGGCTAGGAGGAGAGTGAGGTACTTTCTCACTCCTGCCAGGTGGGTGGAAATCCAAGATTCTTGCTTGGCCTCGACAGGGCTCCTCATTACTGCTGAGCAAAGCTGGAACTTGTAGGCCTCCAATGAACCACTACTGATGAAGCATAGTAATTCCTCCTTTGGAAAACTGCTGTTTGAACTACTCTGTTATTCTTAGACAGTCTCTTATTCTGTAAGTCAACTCTGTTGTTTTTAGATAGTCCCTTATTCTGTAAAATAACTGTTTTAGTTTGAATAATAGAAAAAGATAAAAATTTAGCTGTCTGACCTTGCAAGCTAGCCATGTGACATAACAGACTAATATTGATACTGATAATAATTCCCATATTTTTATACTAAGTATTGGTTCATTAAGTATTCAAGGTTACAAACTGTCTGTAACAATAACCTACACAGAGCTCTTTATGAAATCTGCAGGCAAAGAAGCTCAAAAGGTGTAAATATGGGAAACTTGTTCTATTTCAGGGCTCAGAAATTTGGGAAACACCTCCTTCTGGGCCCGAATAAAGACTCCTAATTAATTGGCTCATAAAGGCATCTCGTATCTATCTTGCTGATTTACGATAAAACACTGATACCTCTCTGGCTAGAAAAGTTAGGTGTGCCTCATTACTATTTCCTATGTGTTCTCCACTGACACAGCAGTGGATGGAACGTCATTCACAGCCAGTGGGAATCAAAGTCCCAACTGTCTGCTCAGCCTTTTTCTGATACTACCCCTGGAGAGAAGTTGAAGCACCTCATTATAGCCTGGTAAGGACAGAAGTCCTGGCCTTTGCTGTGTGAATCAGGATGTGGCCACAGCATTTTCTGTAGTGTTTGGATATAGTAGAAAGTTATTTTCCAAAAGCTTTTAAAAAATTTTTTTTCCTTCTTCTTTTTTAAAATTTTTATTTTATTTTTTTGTCCTTTGAATAGAGAGCAGACTTTTTTGTTGCAAGCTTTTTTGTCTGCACCCATTCAGGATTCTAGGCTGCTGGCTTTGTCGACTTCTCTTCTGGGATACTGGTAAATGAGGCAAAAATAAACAAACAAAAGAAAACACAGAGAAATCAACACCATGTTATTCTTTGAGGCCTGAGTTCCCTGGCCATTTTGCCATGTTCTCTCCGTCTTCCACAGTCTTTTTACATTTATTTTGTAAATAATGTCCAGGTTTTTTAGTTACTTAGAGGGAGGAATAGGAAGAAGTACATGTACTTCATATTCCTGAATTTATTATCACATTATCAATAAACAACATTTAAAAAGAAGATATTGTGAGATATCCACTGTAAACAAAAGGGATTAAAAAACATGGATTTTTAAATGTGCAGAAATACTAATTTAGATATTTTCATCTAACTTTTTATTAAGCAAGTTAATAAATCTGCCTGTTTAAAATTTTCTCACTTTAAAAACCCAAGTTCTAAAATCAAAATTCCTTCCATATCTAATTGTCTATTAGCACTGTCCAAAAAAAAACAAAACAACAACAACACTTTTTCCCATTTCAAATGACTTATTTTTGGTATATACTATTGAATCCTAGGACTTGCTATCTTCTTATTTAGTTTTAAATTCAGAATATACTTTACAGACTAACAAATAAAGTCATGATCATGATTTCCATTTCTCAAATTTGAGATAGAAAAAGAATAGTCTGCATAATTATAAGTACTTAATTCCACAAAGCCCCTAATCATCATCTATTTTTATCTACTAACCTTTTCAAAAAGGTAACATATTTAAGGCTATTAAGTCAAAACAAAAAACAACAACACAGTAATACTTGACTTCTGAACTAATCACAATAATAATAAATGTTAGTAACACTGTGCTAAACTTTTTAATGAAGTTCTTTTTTAAAAAACAGATCATGTTCAAATACACAAACCTGATATATAGTTCATTATTGCTGTAAATTACTTTACATGTTAATGAATATCTAGAATTTAAAATGTCATTTTCATCTGACAATATATTAAAAAAAAAAACAAGTTTAGAACAGTTATACTAAACCAATGAAAGCATAAAGATTATGAGACACCCCGAAGTAATAGAAGATTCTTTAATTACTAGCCCACTTATTATAAGATATCAGCCATTTTCACTCTGCTGAGCAAAACTGCTCTAAATTCTGGAGGATAAAGCAACACCAAAGAAAATAAATAATAAACCATATTTATATCATAGCTAATGGTGAAATAAGAGTTAACATAACTTGCAAAAATTGTTCATTATTCTCAACCATGGCACAGAAAATAGGCAAGTTTATAAACTATAAATTTAATTTTTCTAATGCCTAAATAATACAATGAACTTTTCAGCTCATTAAGGAAGTCTGAACTACAAGTAAATGAGGGATGCTTTCAAGAGTGTTTCCCTTTATTCAAAACTTGTCATTTTGTTCTGATAACAGACAGATCAATATTAAATTTACACTAATAGTTTTACCACTGGAACAACCTGAGGAAGACATACATAAGATATGTATGGTATTCAAGTTTTTACTATTGATAAGTTAGCAAATACCTTGTTAATTGTTTAGGTATATAAAGAAATTGTCAATCAACTATTTTTTTAAGGGGAATTTTTAAGGAATACCAACTCTTTTGGAAAAACTTTCTTGATTTTGAAATCATATAAATGGGCAACTGAGCCAAAAGTCACACAGTTTACATTAAAGGTATATGAAAGGTCTAAAATGGAATTTCTATAGAGAAGTGAAAAAATGTTTCCTCTCCTTTAAAAAGGTTACAACATCACAAAATAATGAATAGCTTAACTTAATTAAAGGTAGACTTGTGAGTAGTTAAAAAGCTAAGTATTGGGACTAAGATTTTTTACAATTGATTACCATATTAACAAATGCACTTGAACAGAAAAAAACTTATATCAATTACTTAACTAAGGCCAGCTAAATCAATGAACTAAAATTTATGAGATTTAAACAATCTCACATATACCCTTCTTAATTATTAGATAACATAAACAGACCATCAGTCAAATAGGCAGAGGCTTGAGAAACTTTGTATCTACCTTCATTGTATGCTGGGTGAAATATTTAAATATTATATCGGCGAATGTCAAAATTAAAGGCTGTAAATGCTCATGAGAAAAAAGTATGCTTGCCCTCGCTGATTTGGCTCAATGGATAGGGCATCGACCTGCAGACTGAAGGGTCTCAGGTTCGATTCCAGTCAAGGGCATCGAGATCCTCATAACCTCAGTAAGGGGCATGCAAGAGGCAGCTGATTAATGATTCTCCCTCACCATTGATGTTTCTCTCTCTCGCTCTCTCTCCCTTCCTTTCTGAAATCAATAAAAAAATTTTTTTTTAATTTATGAGTCTTATTAAAAAAAGACTAGATATTTGAAAATTTTCAGTCATGAACTTACCTTATCAGCTTTCAGTTTTCTAAGGAAAGATGGATTATCATATCCTTTTGCTTGTCTTGCCTCTTGCAAATGGTTGATCATCCAAACATTTTTTCTCTGCTTTGCCAAATCAAGTGCTGATTCACCCTGATAATATAAGTGAAATTCATATTAATAATAAAAACAAAATATTTTAGTTACTAACTTTTAAAGCACACCCATAAAAATAAATTGAATGCATATTAGCTCATTATTATTTTTATATTGGGCAGTCAACTACTAAAAGGATCTAAAAATCATTAAATATTACTTATACTTTCCCATTCAAGGTACAATCAAAATATGTATTTACTCATATAGATTCTATTTGTGCTTACATTTTGGCTTATATTAGAGAGCAAATCAAAAAGTAGGTATTTTAGTACCTGCTGGATCGGAGTCTAATACACAGTTTATCAGTTATTTCATATTCATTAAAGGTTTAATTAGTAATAGTAATTGCTACATAATATCCTGCTATATTACCAAATTTTCAGAATTCTTTCAGTTTCATTTTAATGATGACAAGTTTGAAGGTGAATACAGGAATAAAAAAAATCAATTTCTACTTCTACTACTGTTGTATTGCCATTCTTGATCACCTTAAATTCATTCATCCATAGAAATTTCCAAAGAGAATAAGAGTAGTAACCAAAAAAGAGTGAACCTCAAGTTATGAACTTGTAGTTCCCTTTTATCTCAAGTAAAAGAATGCCAAGGAATACAAGTGAACAGAACTAAAACGGATTCAAGAAAGTAAGAAATAGCATCCCTAATTCTAGATCTATGTTTCTTTATGCCTGTATTAATTTAAGATCTTCTCCTTTAAATTAATCAGACACCTACATATCTATTCTATTTAATAGTCTCAACTATTTATCTAGTACTTCAAGTATATATGTGAAATTAAACATTATCCAAATTTGCCAAAATTTCAAGAATGTATCAATGAATATTTAAAATAACTTTAAAAAGAAGAAAAAATATTAACATTTTAATTTTAAAAACTATATGAAAATAAATGAATAAGGAGCCTCTGGTGCCTTACTTATGAGGAATGATTATCAAGTATGAAGTACAGTTTATTTAAAAAAAAAAAAAAACTTAAAAAATTTTAAAAAGCAAACAAAAAAATAAACACACCACTACCACCAATAGCAACAACTATAACACCAAAATAACAACAGAGAGCCCAACCAATCCTTTAATAAAAAGAGGAATTGTATTTAATTAGGAACAGACTAATCTAGGTGGGTCTTCCACAAATACGATTATTTATTTTTAAATATCTCCTTACCTACTCAAAGATTCTATCACCTAAATTGTTAGAACCAGCTAATTAATCCAAACTATAAAGATTACCTGAATAAAAGCAATCCCTTGGATAACAACTCCCAGAGAATATTCTGCAGTTGCCTCGGTCCAGCTGAGCATCCCTTCCACTAGAGGGCCATGTGACACCTAGGGATTGCCTAGATAAAAAGATGGAGGGAGCTTTAAGAAGTCTTTCAACTACTCCTCTAGTCAACTGACTGCTTTTGTATAATTCTTTTATTCAGCTGGTAAAATAAACAAGCAATTAATTTAAAGAACTGTATTAAAACCAGGGTTCCAAATCAAGTCTTTATCTGATCACTCCATGTGTTAGCTAAAATAGTAAACAATAACATCTCTTAAATGGAGTATTTATGGATGATGTGACATGTAATAAAAGAAATTCTTCAAGGATTTTGGTCAGATAAATAAACACTAAGGAAGGTAGACGGCTGGATGATCATATTTTGCCTAAGTTAGACTGAATTTCATTATTAAAACGAAGAAAACTTCTTCCTTGGAGACCATCTAGGTCAGGTATTAAAAGATAATAAAACTACTTTCTAAAAACAGTTCCTTACCTCATTTCAAGAAACTATATGTGTCTTCCAATATGTTAATTAACAAAGCTCAGTAATTTTACATTCTTAGCAAGCTAAAATTTATGTCCTTAGATCATGTTAGAAAAAAAAAATTACAAATGCTTGGGCTTTACTCCGAGATTGTTTTCTCAATACCCAATTCATCTATATTTATCTGCATAACCAAAAAGATGTGCAAGAGGGTAAAATATTTTTTTTAACTCACAAAAGAGATGTTACCATAAAAAAGGATAACTACATAGGTCATTTAAAAAAAATCTTAGTATTCCCAAATAACTCCCCCCATTGTTACTACTTGAAATTCAAATTTATCCTATGTAACTATTATCTAAGTTCTTAAACTTTTTAAAATCATCAGATGAAAGCCTTCTAGAAAAGCTGAAATTTAATTTTTTAATAATAATTTCAGAGGTCAATGAATCCACCCTCTAATAAAAGTAAGAAGCTCTAGTCTGGGGTATATGGCCTTTTCTATCCTTCTACGGATCAAAGTAGCCATTTTAAAGTTGCCTACCATTTAATATTAATTGTCTCCAAAATAAGTTCTATATTCTTTTGATAAAATAATCATTTGTTTATACATTAAAAGAATTGAATTCCTTAGTCAAATAACTAACTTACAAGGGTAAATAAATCTAATATAAAATGAGATTTCTAATTTGCCTTATTTAGAAAATAGCTATTTTAGAAAATCAGCTGATAGTTATATAACAATTATAACAAAAAATATAATTTATCATAATCTTTAAAGAAAGTAACTTTTACTGGCTATTAAAGCCATGTCCAGATTCGTATGCTACATCTTTTTGTCATAATTCATGATTAGTAACAAACTCTTAAGACTTGAAATAAAAAATATACAGGTATAAATCAACTTTACTTGTCAAATTCCTGGACAAAGAATCTTGGCTTGTTTTTTAATTAATAATCTTTTCCCTTTCAAACTTTGCAGCAATTTAAGTTTATTTAATTAGCTTAGCATTCCACGTAGGTAAAAGATACCACTCAAATTAAGTATGAGGAAAGCAGAACCAATTGCTATCACCTTCACCCCAGAAGTTTTCCTTCAATCTTCACAACCTGAATATATATCACAAGGCATTCAGTTATTCAAACAAAAATGTACCATCAATGATATTTTCTTTCACCTTCACATCTAACCTACCTCTTCATTTCTACTCTATAATTTCTAAATCAACTCACTTATCACTATTTCTATTCCTACAATAATAAGCTAAACTAAATCATCTTTTGTCTGACTTACTGCAATAGCCTAACTCAGTGGTCAGCAAACTCATTAGTCAAAAGAGCCAAATATCAACAGTATGATTGAAATTTCTTTTGAGAGCCAATTTTTTAAAACTTAAACTTCTTCTAATGCCACTTCTTCAAAACTGACTCACCCAGTCCGTGGTATTTTGTGGAAGAGCCACACTCAAGGGGCCAAAGAGCTGCATGTGGCTTGAGAGCCGCAGTTTGCCGACCACGGGCCTAACTGATCTTCACCCATCCCTTTCATTTTCTTAATTCTGATGCTATTCTTCCTATAACAACTAAATTAATCTTTTAAAAATATTTAAAGCACAAAGATTATATAACCAGCCTACATAAATATTCCCTTTTGTTTCCCATGACTGAGAATACAATTTAAGCTCCTTATCATGGCCCTGAATAATCTGGCACCTGCTTCTCTCAGTGGCTTCACTCCCTTGTTTACTGCTATCAGTCAAGGCTATCAGTTTTGCACTTCTAAAATGGCAAGCTAATTCTTGGCTTATTCATTATCCCTAGGCCTTGCCCATGCAGGTTCCTCTACATCAAGCATGTCAAACTCAAAAGCCAAATAAACAAGATTAAAGTTTATGTGGACCGCAAAAAACAAACAAACAAAAACAAAAAACAAAAGCTTCAATTCTCATAGGCTTATTTTGAAAATTATAACATTAAAAAAGAAAAAAAAGAAAAAGAGCAATGATAAAATTAATGTTTTTTTTCCCTGACACTTGACATCTCTTCTCTGCTATCTTTCCTACTTCGGGGGAAATCTTGTTTGCAGTGATTACTTTCAAAACTGACCCAAGGTGAATGTCAGCAATTCTGAATCTGACAGGAGACTTATTTCCTTTCATAATGGTGAATAACTGCTCACACCTTTATAGTGGCTGGGCCGCAAATATTCATTGTGAGCCTCATGCAGCCTGTGGACCACGAGTTTGACATGCTTGCTCTACATGGTCAATTTTCCCCCAATTATCTTTGCATAATTGAGTCCTTTTCATCCGACAAGTTCACAGCAAATGTCATCTCATCAGAGGCATTCACAAATCACTCTCACATGATGTGGTTCCCTCAACCATCATCACTCTACTCCATTTGCTTATGTGTACATATTTGTTTAATGTATCATACTATTATCTGCTCCCTCAATACAATGCAAATTCTGAGAGAATAGACTTCATCTCTCTTAAATACTTCGATTTCACAGCATTGAACATTGTTGAATGAATAAATGACTTCCATTAGAAGGTGGTGACTAGACTTCAGCATATTAGGAATGCCAGATTCCAATAGAATAGGCATCTGATACTTATTTTATCATTTTAATTACATAAAAAGTGCATTCTAAAACAAAAATCTACTTTTCCACCAGTGTAGATAAAATGATTATTTTTACTTGGAAAGTATAAATGTTCCCTGGGCAAATGAAGCAACTCCTTAGACTTTCTTTAAAAATAATGTCCTTCCAGAAACTATCAGGGAATTAATTACATTTAAAATATTCTTATCAATAAAAAACCCTGATTATACATGTCAGATAAAATGAAATCTTCATAAAAAGAAAGTTATTTAAAATATACCATTACAAAGTTCTACAGGCACAATAATTATCTTAATTATTGACAGTAGACTCTGCACAGTATTCACATGAACTGTACTAGTTATAATAAGAAAGCTACATCCCATTTATCCTATCTTGGCACCAAATAATTCATGTGTCTAAACCTAGAAAAAAATATTAAAAATATGAGGCTCAAACCATTTAAATATTTTCAAATATCTCTATTCTTACCATTACTTTTCTGTGTAGATTCATTATAGATTATTTCTCTTACTAAGACTATTCAAAAGGTTGTGCAAGTGTTCACTATTTTGAAAGACATTAAATTTACAAACCACACCTCAAATTCTTAAAAATCTTAATCAAGGAGAAATTATCTAAAATTTTATATGAATAGAAAAGATATTTTTAAATGCTCAAAATATATATGCTACTAGTTTCAAATTCCAGAATGCTGTAGTCATACTGTCATAATTCCTTGGTATTAACCACAATTTTAACATTGATATGGCTCTTGGCAGAATCTATGAAGATTCACTATTTGCCATATTGAATTTGGTTCTATCTTTTCAATAATATAACACTAAAAATCTTAAAATTTTGGAGGCATAATTATTGTAGGAATGACTGGTAGCAAATAAAAGGAAAGAATAAATTAGCACTCTAAAACAATTCAAGTTATAGAATACAAGGTAATCTCACTGATTTTTTCTTATAGGGATATTGGTCAGAGTTAGTCAAACTCCTTCCTTATACTTTAGGTCTTAATCCCTAATTTACTAATTACAGTGTAATGAATATTTCCATTTCCTATTTTAAAATGTATGGAAAAGCAAAAATTTCTCCCTATAATTTCAGAATAGCAGAGAAGCATATTAGTAAAGCTCAAGACTACACAAATCACCATTTAGTCAGTCACCAAATATTTAAGGGTACCCATCATTTGTCAGGCACTATGACATGTTAACTTGCAGACAAGACCGCTCTTATCACTTTGGGTAGGAACAAGACGACTTTATTTTTTTTAAGGAGATAAAGAATTTTTTTTTTAATTTCTTAGTTTCCAATACAGTATATGATATTTACTTTTAAACATTTTTAATTAGACTCATTTCTAAATATTGGTTATATTAACTACATTAGGCATCTTATATCTAGTCTAAGCTATTTCATTTTAGTAGTTTAAACTTTACTTTTTAGAGTAATACAAGAATCCTGGGGGTATAGCTCAGTGGTAGAGCATTTGACTGTAGAGTAATACAAAGGAATAAATAGATGTCCTGATCCAGCAGGAGATACCCTACTTTTTGATTGCCATTTCATATTATTATGTGCTTGAACCCTTTTCATATTTAATTACCACATATCCCTTAGAAATTTAAAAAAACATGACTCAGAAAATACTATGGTTTATAGTCAAAATTAAAGAACATCTGTCATTGACACAAAGTTATTTTATGAATACACATTACTAAAAGACGATGTTTAAAAGGTTAGCCCGGATGGTGTGGCTCAGTAGTTGAGCATTAACCCATGAACCAAGAGATCCCTGACTTAATCACATGCCAGGTTGTGGGCTTAATCCCCAATAGGGGTACGCAGGAGGCAGCCAATGGATGAGGTTTCTTTCTCACGAATATAGCCTTTTCTTGCTCTCTCTCTAAAAGCAATGAAAACATTTAAAAATATAAAAGTTTAGTCATTTCACAGAAAGAATCTGTTGCTAAAAAACAAGGTAGATCCTTAAGCTTTAAAAATGAGAATGGTTACCCAAAATTTAAGACTACCAAAAGAACATTCTTACAAATATCCATAAAATGCCTACAAATTTCAAAATGCTCAGAGTATAAATGGTAATTGAGCTTTGCTTAGATAATTTTGTGTACTTTTCCTGGATTAGTCCAGCATCTGGAGCAGAGAGGTTTTCTTTATAAACATCACAAAGGTGTTTATCAAATTTAAAGGTCTAGACCTTTAACAAAAAAGACAATAAATGACCTAGTCAAGGAATTACTAAAAGTTATTAAGGGTAATGAGGTTTAAATATAAACTTAAGATTCTCTGTAATGATTTTCTTAAAGAAACCAAACACTATTTCCTTCAGCTATAAAAATACAGATTATATAATTTCCAAAAGTAGTAAGAATTCACTAATGAAAAGGGCACCAAAATCTGAAAATACTAAAAGAAGAAAGTAAATAAACCAGTCTTTCAAAAAAAAATTTCTTGCATAAAGGCAAAGAGTTGAGTTAAATAAGTTTCTTCCATCTTTGACAATTTGTGAAAAAACCTGGATTAAGAAATTTGTTTCTTATAACCACATTTCATATAGCATAATAAATATAGGATATTTTTACCTTGACATTCTGGGCATCAACATTAGCTCCAGCTTCCAGAAGAAGACTAATGACTGTGGTATTCCCTGCTAGTACTGACCAATGCAAAGCAGTGTTTTTGTGATACTTGTCACCAAGGTTAACTGAAACATTGAATGTTAAAAGCAATCTAGTTGGATCCACACTGAAAAGGAAAAAAAAACAACAACAACAACAACCCTAATTTCAATTATAGAAATCATTACAGATACTAAACTGACTGTATTTGCATTCCATCTTGGAACACTTCTACTCTAATCTATACTCAACAACTATATAATCACAAATGAGATAATAATTTAATAAGAAGTATTAAGTATCAAGTAATGTAGTTCTAAGAGAGAACATACTTGGTCCTGATATTTTCTTTTTTTGATCTTGGAATTATGTCTTAAATATCTATATAATTAAACAATTGAATTTTAAAATTTAAATCTGGATTGTTCCAAAAATGATTTAAAGCAATGTATTAATATATAAAATTTGTTAATATGCAAATCACATGAAAAAATTCACTGCATTTTTAAAAAAGATAGCTTCCTCTTCCATTCTTAGAAATTGTTGAAAGAAAATAGAGTAAGTACTACAATACTAAGATAAAGGTAAGCGTAGAAATTAGAACATCCAAAAAGGTTATTTATGACATATACTATGTATTCATAATGAAAAATTTATTAACAAGTATAACATTAACTGCTTTCTCTTTTCAACTATTTACATTTTATTATGTTGAAAATGATGTAAAAAGTATTTTATAATGCATACATACCTGTGTGTTCTATAAGCTGCCCACATTAAAGGTGTCATTCCATTCTGATCCATCATATCTACATCCTAATAGAGTATAAAAAAAAATTACTAAATTCCTAAACAATTTACTTGGAAAAATCTAATTTATTCTATCATGGGCGATTTATGAAACTTTTTTTCTTAACTTCAAAGTAAAACTATTCACTGTCACTAATTATTTTAATGTGTATTTAAATATTTAATTGATATATATATTAAAGATATACTTAACACATATTTATATTTTCCTTTTTAGGATGGATTATTAATCAACCTTTCAATGTTTTGTATTTAAAGATCTTCACCTACTTTTGATCTTTCAGCCACAAAAATTAAATAATTAAAGTCTTTAAAAAACTTATTTTATACTTAGTCATAACAGAAGAGAATAATGAAACTGTTTATTCCTAAGGATTTCAAAACAATGAATAAAAGGCCTATCTTTTTAATCATTTAAATAAATTTAGTGTTTTCTCTTTAGTCTATTGTTATGCATGTACATTTTTAGTTAAATAATTCTGTGAAATTTGTGGTGATAAAGCAGTTCTCTGCCTTATTCCCCACTATTTTTACCTTTTTAGTCCATTATTTTGGTATTTACCTCCATATCTTAAAATAAAATGCTTAAATTGCTACTTTTTAATTTTCAATGTCAGGCATTATCTTTTGAGACCTCTTCAGTTTGCAAAATGAGAATTTCTCTCTTTCTTCTCCCTGCGCCATCAAAGTATATACCTTTCTTGTTCTTCCCTCTTAAGAGAACTGTAATTTTGTTTCTAAAACACTTGATATTTACATTATTATAAATATGTGACTTCCCAGCAAAATCTTGTAATAAACCATGATTACTTTTCTTCTACTACCCAACTTTATGCTTTACTTGGTACTATCTTTCCCCTTCTTTTGCTTAGTTTTTTTAAGCAAATGAAATGAACACTACCACCTACTCAGCATTTCTTCCCTAATTATCCAAGTCTAACTTTAAGACATTCTGATGTATCAGGGATTTTATCAGTTTCACTTCCCTAAAATTCTCTCTCCTAATTCATTCCAATCTGGACCCATAAACCTATATGACTGAAGCATCTGTCTCCTTAACTAGGAGTTGAGGTTCAAAATTATGTTAAATTCACATATTCTCAGTGTCCAGCACAGCAGATGATCAAAAATCATTCATTAAATGAAAAGACATTTTTATCCATCTACTCTTGGGAAAGGCACAGGCTTTAGAATAAGACTCACATGGTTTTGAATTCCCAGCTCTACCACTTAATAGCTATAAGACTGGAAAAATTACTTTAATTCTAAGCCTCACCGACCTCATCTAAAAAATACAAATACAAAAAATGCTATAAGACCCTTGTAAAAATTAAATGGAATCCTATGTGTAAAGCACCTAGTCCAACGCCTGGAACACAACAGACATTCAACAAAAAAGTTTCCTCTTCCCCCTTACCTCATCACCCACTCCTGAATTACATTAAACCAGCAGTTCTAATCTGACCTGTATTATCTAATTACCAGTCAGTGGAGAGAGAGTGAATTTACAGTGAGTACACTGTAAAACATATATCTTTATGAAGCAGTTCTCTGTGAGCCACAATTACTGATGACAGTATGTCTCAAACATCAATATTTCCAAGTGTACGGAGGCAGAAAAAAGCTGAGAACCACTACATTAGACAAACTAGAACAAACTAAACTAATGATATCATTACTAATGATCTCATCATGAATAATGTAATTAAATGCTATGCCTTATCTATTATAAATCCACTTCTGGTTTTACTTTAAATATTTTGGGGAACATTTCATGTAACCTCACACAATATTTCCAATACTATATACACTGATTTTTTTTTAATTAAAAAATCTTCTCTAAAAAATGGCAAGCTTCCTTGTTTATTACATAGGAGTTAAGTACTTTATCTTATTTTACCTCCTTCAGCTGTCAAGGTTTTAAGAAAGCTAAACTAAATTTGATGCCCAATTAAAACAAACAGGTAAATTATTATGTTTAGATTTCTTCTTCCCTTTTGTTTTTTCATTTCCTTTTAAAAAAGTGATGGCATTAAAAATATCAGTAAATAAAAAATGTAAAATTATGTCACATCTCTAGAGTACTAAAAGAAAAATGAAATTCAACCTTTTCTCTCTTTGGATCAGGATTTAAAACTTGGTACTTCTTTTCCAAGTTCAGTCTGGATGTATGGGTATTCTCTATTAGGAAGAATTAACAAGCCCAGATCAATAGCTTATGGGAATTCGATGATTAACAGGGATCCGTAACTTAGCATTTTCCCTTTTTCTCCTGAAAATCATCCAAAAGAATTGGTAGTGAGCACTAAATATATTTAATGGTATAACTAAAATGAAACATTTGTGAAGAATAGAATGACAAATTGTATGGAAATGTTATATGTCCTAAAAATGTAAAATTTTCCAATTAACAAAAAATGGGGGTAAGGGAATAGAAAAAGGTTGGAAAAAAGTATGATGAGTGCCTAATATGTAATCGTTATAATTCAAAGGATGTTATTTAAAGCTGAAAAATCAAGTAACAGAAATGTAGTTATATTTATCAGAACAATGTTAATACTATGAAAAAACAGTATTATTGACTAAAGTCAGTGAAAGAGGAAAGAAAGAAGAAATAAAAATATACTTATTTATTACTGCTTATACTTGGGAACTAATCAAAACTAATAAAATTTATTTTTGTTGCTACTTCATAACTGTAATTTTGCTATTGTTATGAATCGTAATGTAAATATCTGTGTTTCCCGATGGTCTTAGGCAACTCTGCTAGCGGTTCTCAACCAATGGGTCTCAAATCAACTGATTAAAGAGAGAGAACTGTGACTATCTGAGGAAAAGATTTACCAAGCAGAAGAAACAGCAAACACAAAGGCCTTAAGACAATAACCTATCAAAGTTGATCAAGAAACAGCAAGACTGGGATAGTTAAAGCAGAGTAAGATGGCAGAAGTTAAGCTCGAGAGGTATCCAGGGCTAGATCACATAGGCCAAAGAAGGACTTTGGACCCCATTCAAAGTATAATGTAATGCTTTACAACATATTGGAGTATACAAAGTAAAAAATGCTAAAAAAATACACACGAAACTGTTATAGGAAGTAACCCTATTGGGGGAGAGAGAGGAGGGAGAAGATTTCATTTTCTAAATCATACTCTTTTATTAGGTTTGAATAATTTAATTATGCATGTGTTACTGCTGTAAGCAGAAAAACAATTTATTTATGAAAAAGAGTAATTTTTTGAAAGACATATATTATCATCATCATGCATTTATTGTACAAAAAGTACCATGACAGGTAGAAACCATTGCTCTTTAATAATTTTATAGCCTACCCAAGCATGTCAAAAGTGCAGACTGCTGGCCACAAATTTGACATGCTTGGAAAAGATTATTGAAAGCATCCAAATTCCAAAATTAGTGCACTAACAAAAAGACCAGGAACACTCAAAGATTTACATTTTTCTTATCCAGTTAAAAATTGAAAGGAAAATTGAGTATTATAAAATTATATCTGCAAACAGAAAGCCATTAAAGATACTGTCATATGCTATGGCAGTATCTACTCCTTCAACCACCAGTCTAGAAGAAACTATGGGAGAACAAGGATAATCCCCTGTAGTTGGTCTCCAATGATGGCCCCAGTAAACCTCACCTCTGGGAATTCAAACCCTTGCATCACCACTTTGAACATGGTCTGGCTCTATTACTTGCTGTAACTGAAAAAATGGAGAAATGCTGCTGTGCCAGTTTAACACCTACGACTTAAAAAAAGGCAAAACCGCTTCTGCTTCTGTTCTGTTGGGACCTCTGAGCCACCATGTAAGTCCACTTCCCCTCCTGCAGAGTTCACATGGGGGTTGGGGGTATGTAGAGAAGTTCTGAGACTGCATGGAGAAAAAGACAGAAGCCAAGCTGTCTCGGCATTCCAGTTGAGCCCAGCCTTTTAGCCATTCCTACCGAGGTACAAAGTATGTTTAAGTGCACTATCCTCTAGCTCAGCTGAGCTCCCAGATGACTGCAGCTCCCAGCAATTATCACAAGAAGAATCACCTAGTCAAGGCCAAACCACAGAACTGTAAAAAACAATAAATTCTGGTGGTGTTCTTAAGCCATCAATTTTGGGATGGTTTGTTAACACAGTAAGAAATAAACTCCCCCTTTCAGCAATTAACTTAACCAGTTTATGCCATTTTCCTAAGCTATAATGCACATACACAACTGTCATTGCTTGACATTGCCAATCTTAAGGGATTCATAAAATAAATACTATTCAAATTCTAAATCAGCACAAAAGTTTAAATTAAAATAAATGTTAATAACAATAAACTCAAATAATTTGTCTTACTCTTATGAGATCCTTAGCTATATAACTAATATTTAAGCATAACCAGAAAAAATACATGAATGAAAAACGAGTGGCAATACTTTTAACAAAATACATTTATTACAAAAACATGATACATATAAATTTGTAATATTTAACATGATTATAGTCAATGTACATTCAGAAAAAAACAGAAAAACCACTTAAATCATGAGAAGTTTTCTGGCATATGTGAAGCAGCATTATTTTATTTAGCAGAATCTGAAAAACTGATCTTAAAGATTTTATCCCCCTCGAGAGGTACTTAATATAGGAAATAGCCAGTAATGTGTTCAAAAAGTTTAAATGAATTCAGATGATATATTTTTTAAAATACTTGAATTTTCTTCCTTACTTTCTGGGATTCACTTTTATTACTCTCAGAAATAAAAAAGCCCAACTTAATGGACTGTTTATTATATGTTCATGATTACCTTCCTTAATTTTATGTTAACTACATGAAGTATCACATAGCTGAATATCAAATTAATTACTGTATATATTTATTTTTTCTCTTCATCCATCAGAAAGTATCCCACATAATAGAGGTAATATGCAAATTGACTCTCACGCCCCCATGTCACAAGATGGCCGCCCCACGTTGTCACAGGATGGCCGCCACAAGATGCTGCCCCCATATTGTCATAAGATGGCCAGCAGGGGAGGGCAGTTGGAGGCTACCAGGACTGCAGGGGAGGACAGTTGGGGGCAACTGGGCCAGCAGGGGAGCAGTCAAGTGTCAATCATGACAGCAGGGGAGCAGTTAAGGGGTTATCAGGCTGGCAGGCAGGCAGTAGTTAGGGGCAATCAGGCAGACAGGCAGCCAGGCAGAAGAGTGGTTAGGAGCCAGCAGTCCAGATTGTGCGAGGGATGTCCAACTCCCTGTGGATAGGGCCTAAACTGGCAATCAAACATCCCCGGAAGGGTCCCAGATTGGGACATCCCTCCCCCACATCCCCCAGTGCATGAATTCCATGCACCAAGCCTCTAGTTATTTAAATATTACCAGGTTATTACCTGTAACACCAATGATATCAGGCATTTAAACCATGAAGAATTTCTTATTAAAATCTACCATTGTGCATTGAAATCACGAAGAACTTATGATTAAAATCCACCATTGTGTTTTTTTTACCTGTCCTTTTGCAATGAGATAAGCAACAATTGAGGTATGTCCAAACTGAGCTGCCAGATGAATACAGCTACATCCTTCTCCATCAATTAATGAAGGATCTGCACCATATTTCATCAGTTGCACAACCATAGATAGATGTCCTTGTCTAAAACATAAAAGAATAAACAGTTAGATATGCAGTTATTTCAAATAGTATCCTCTGGAAAGATCTTTCTTTTAAATAGGGTAATTGTAAAAAAAAAAAAAAAAAAAGGTAACACAAATAACTTTTAAAGTTATTTTATAACAGATATTTGTGTCAAGACACATTTAGGATTCATGGTTCTTAATTCTTAACTAGAATAACCATCCTTGGAAACTTAGTTACTCATAACTTCTCATAACTTACTCATATTCCATTATTATAGTAATCATTTGGTAAACTGGGCAACTTCTTTAATTGTAATATTATATGTATAGGCTGCAAAAGTATTATTAAATTTACAAATCTAAAGTTTAACCCAATCATATAATTAATCGGATTAACATATACATAGTTAATTCCCTTAGGACATTTGGACAATAAACTTTTATCCTAATACAGATAACAATACATTAATATAATGATGCTAATACTATTGGCATAATATGTTTTCCTATTCATTAAAAAAGTTGCTTAGTTACAGACTAATAAAGAAACCAAAATGAAAAATAAATCCAGAAGCAGATTTAAACCTTGTTGCCCAATGCAATGGAGTTGAATTTAGGTCTCCTCCAAGCTGATCCACAATAGCACCTTTCGAAATGTAGTATCTGTAAGACAAAATTTTAAATAATTTAGACAACTTTCATTTTCAAGTTTCAAGAAATTATGTAAAAAAAAGAAAAATGTTTTTCATTTTAGATCTCAAGCTAGTTTATGCCTTAAAAGATAAATGTTCGTTTATGAGAGTTTAAAAATATATTTAGCAGAATTTTATATCAAACACATCACTGTCTTTTGTTCTAGAAGTAAAAGGGGAAAAAATTGAAGTTATCAAAAATTTAAAGTTACCAAAAAGTTACCATTTGGTAATAGCAATACCAAATAACTATCATGTAAAAAAAGCAAGCAAGAAAAAAACAAAACACAAGCAGTCAGAGAACCACAAAGACTTGGTTCAGAACACAGTAGACAGAATCTTGGAAGCAGGAGAACTATATAAATGCTAGACAGTCTATGCAAGTGGTTCTCAACCTTTCTAATGCAGCAACCCTTTTATACAGTTCCTCATGTTGTGGTGAACCTCAACCATAAAATTATTTTCGTTGCTACTTCATAACTGTAATTTTGTTACTGTTAATGAAGTGTAGTGTAAATATCTGTGTTTTCCGATGGTCTTAGGCTCTACAGCAGATTGAGAACCACTAGCAAGATCGCCTATGACCATCGGAAAACACAGATATTTACATTACGATTCATAACAGTAGGGTGGAGGCATTAGAAAGGTTGAGAACTACTGGTCTATGAGTAGAAGACACTCAGGTTATTAAGCTTTACTTACCTCACAAGTTTACTGTAGACTAAGTCAAACAATACACATAAAAGAATTTCATAAATTATAAAAGATAACGTAGAAGTTTTTTATGATGCCTTGTTTGTTATGTTTTTAAAGCTGTGTTGCTTTAAAAAGAGCAACCTCACTGCTTAATATATTAATGTCATAGCACCTTGATGCCCTGTGAAATGAATAAGATTTAACTGCTTCTTATAATGCTTGCTTTAAGAATAATCAATGCAATGACTCTTGAATATAGTAAATGATTTACTGGTGGTCTGTGAGGTTCAAAAGGTTGGTGACTGCTGGTTTAAGGAAACCTTTGGAGCAGCGATTGCCAAATGGTAGTCCGCAGACCTCTAGTGGTCCGTGAGGTCTGAAAGGTTGGTGACTGCTGATTTAAGGCATTTTCACGTCAAATGCTTGCTGATGTATGTTTATTATTGGGGCTCTTAAATTGTTGTAAGTTTAATGCAAAGACTCTTTAATATATACAATTCTAAACATCTAATATACACTAATAAAAGAGAAAAATGCTAATTGACCATAACTTTGCTATGCCCACAGCCAATCAGAGTGAGTATGCAAATTAACCCAACAAAGATGGAGGGGCAGGGTGGGGCGGGGAAGGTGGTGGTGGTGTGCGCACAGCCACAGAAGCCACTTGCAGGAATCTTCTTGCAACGGCCCCTCATATATTCATAATTACATGCTTGATTCAGAAATTTTCTGCTTTATGTAAGTATTTATTAAATTGGTACTTATAAAGCACTGTGCGGTGAGGAGTCCAATTCCACTCTATAATGTAAAATAGTTTAAAAGTACCTTAAAATATTTCCATACTAAAATATTTTCAGTCCAAAATATCAGTTTTAAATTCTGTAAATTAGAACAAAACTACAGAATGTTTATAATCTGAACACAGACATTTAACCAATCCTAAACTGTTTCTTAAGGTACCTGGCAGAGATTATGTAACAGCTGAAAATTAATATTTTGAGCCCAAAGAAAAGTACAGCTCAAAGAACAGCTTTGATAGAAAATATTTTCTGAAAATATTCAACTGGTATTAAAAAAAACAAAATTTGATTACCTTTTCTATAGTCAATATATCTGTTCCAGAGAATTATTTTTACTCACATTTCAAACACTTTCTAGAGCTAAGACAATAAGCTATTTCTAACATGGTTTGAAAATACAACTTTGTTTTCAATAGAAGAATTTTTTCCCCTCTATGCTAAAAAAGAATCACTCCTATTACCTTTTCATTATAAACTTCTGGAAGAGAAGTACTACTATCCTATATAATAAAAGAGTAATATGCAAATTGACCAAATGGTGGAACAACCGGTGCTATGATGCACACAGACAGGGGCAGATGTTCAATGCTCAGTGCGCTCCCACAGCAGGAATGCTGCTCCCAGAAGCTGGACTCACAGCTGGCGAGCACAATGGCGGTGGCAAGAGCATCTCCAGCCTCTGTGGCAGCGCTAAGGATGTCCAATTGCTGACTTAGGCCTGCTCCACAAGCCGTCAGTTGGACGTTCCCCAAGGGCTCCCGGACTACGAGAGGACACAGGCCTGGCTGAGGGACCCCCCTCCCGAGTGTACAAATTATATGCACCTAGCTGCTAGTATTTTTTATAACATGTTTTTCCTTGTAGCTATAAGACCCTAGCTCAAAACTATAATCCTGAGAAGTCCATATGCTTCTTATTTTTAAACTACAGTTTCCCTGCAATACTAGGTTATTATTATAGTGCTACTGCAAGTACTAATGATCCCCAGATATTGAGAAGGGGTCATCAATGAACAAGAGATATCAACCAGCATTTGAAAAATGAAAAACAGCCCTAGCCAGTTTGCCTCAGTGGATAGAGCATCAGTCTGTGGACTCAAGGGTCCCAGGTTCGATTCCAGTCAAGGGCATGTACCTTGGTTGCGGGCACATCCTGAATAGGGTGTGTGCAAGAGGCAGCTGATCGATGTTTCTCTGTCATTGATTTTCTAACTCTCTACCTCTCTCCCTTCCTCTCTGTAAAAAATCAATAAAATATAAAAAAAAAAAAGAAAAAAAAAAGAAAAACAAATTGCTAAAACTCCAATGTCTCCAGAGCTGGGCACCAATGAGAAACAAACCAGAATCCTATCTAATAAAGAAGGAATATGCTAACTAAATGACACACCCTCACAAAAATGGCAGTGCCCACAGTCAATAAGGAGGGAATATGCTACTGGTAATTAACTGCCATGCCTTCAAAGATGGTGGCACCCACAGCCACAAGATGGTGGTGTCCAGTCCCCTCAGCACCATTGGGGTGGCAGGCATGCAGCACAGCTGAGTCCGCCCCCAAGTAGGTCCAGCCACTCTGCATACCTGACTCCGGAGCCCCCCAGTCCCCTCAGCCCCCCAGCTGCCCAGGGCTGGCCCAAGGTGCAAGCAAGCCTTGGATGGCAGCTGCCCACACTCCGAGGACCACCCGAGGATCAGGTAACCAGGAATGGCCGAGCTTGTGCTGCTGGTAGTGGCAGTAGCAGAGATGTGATGGGGGTGTCTCCTTTCCCTGATCGCTGGGTCGCACCCACCCCTGAGGGCTCCAGAACTGTGAGAGAGGATAGGCTGGGCTGAAGGAGGCCCCCCCCCTCCAATGCATGAGTTTTCATGCACCAGGCCTCTAGTCCTATATAATCAAAACCTAATATGTTAAATGTTTGGATGTCTGTTCAACCAATCAAAGCAAAATATGCTAATCAACTGCTCGCTATGATGTGCACTGACCCCCAAGGGCAGACAGTCAACCAGTTGCTATTACATGCACTGACTGCTCCAACCTGTAGGTTAGCTTGCTGCTGGGGCCTGACTGATCGGTACTGAGTGAGACAGTGCTTCCCCAGCTGGCCACCTCCCACATCCCTTCCCATCCCCGACTATGCACTGGTGGGGTTCCTGGACTTGGCCTATACCCTCTCACAATCTGGGAACGCTCAGGGAATATCAGAGAGCCAGGCCAAGAGACCCCACTGGTGTATAAATTCGTGCACCAGGTCTCTAGTATATTATAAAACCCTAGAAAAACTAAGAGATTAAAGTCAATTGTTACCCCTAAAGAAAATAATAAGAAGCTAACTGTAAATATAAACATTGGCTGAAAGTTAATATAAAAGTTACTGAAAAATTGTTTTTTGACCTATATACTCCATGAAAGTTAGTATTTATTTAACATTACAAATAGGCTTTTTTAGTGGCATGGAAGCAATCAAGCAGCTGACAGTACCACAAAAGTATTCATTGATTTAACAGTATAGTGTACACTATACTGCTAAATCTTAAAATATGATTACTCAAATTTTTAATATTATTGTAGTAGTAATTCAAACTCTTAAAGTTCTGACTCATTCTTGCATCCCTAAACTTCATTGTATGGTGGTGACTTGGGTTTCAGCCTCAGGCCCATGTTGATTTTAATAGTCAATCATCAGTGTTTGCCAACAGCTGTTTGCTGTGCAACTTTACCCAAGAAGTTTGAGCCTCTGGAAATTAAATCAGAAAACCATATAAAACATTTTACTAAAAACATGGCAATCCAATGAAAGTTTACATACTAAATAATAAGAATTCCAAGCCATTTTCCTTGCTCTGATCAACAGGCAGCTAGACAGATGCTTAGGCCCACCCCACAAATCAGAAGATTCTTCTCCTAGAGAAACTGAGCAACCCCAGAGAAAAACCTCCAGAAATGGACATTAGGGAAGCTCCTACTGTAAATTCTCTAAGTATCAAAGCTTCCAGGGTTTTTTTTGTTTTTTGTTTTACTTAAGATTTTTATTGGTTTTTAGAGAAAGAAGAAGGAAGAGGGAAAAAGAGAGAAACATCAATGTGAAAGCGAAACATCAATTGGCTGCCTCTTAGGGATCAAGCCCGCAAACTGGGCATGTGCCTGATGGGGAATCAAACTGGTAACCTTTCAATCCATTAGACGACATCTAACCAACTTAGCCACACTGGTCAGGGCATAAACAGGTGTTTTATGTCTCTTCTAAATATGAATGGCCAAATAAGATTAGACAATTAAGTGAAAGTTCAAATATGGAAGAAGGCCAAAATAAAACAAGCCCCAAATAGACAATATACAGAGAAGAAAAACTTAAAAAACAATAAAAGTTACAGCCTCCAAAAATATAAAAGACTATATACCTATGATAAAAGAACCAAATTTTTCTTTAAAGGTAGGGGGAAACAGAAGAAATGCTTAAAAACTGAAAATGTGTTAGATG